CGTGAGTGAAGTGTAGACACCAAAAAGGTTTTGATATTAGCGTTTGATATTGTTGATTCGCTGTTGTCAGTAAATGTTGAAACATCTGAAATGATAGACCCCTCATTCTCACTACATTCGCTGGCAGTTTCCTCCATATCACCAGCGGTTTTATTTTGTGACATAGGTGTGCTGAAAAGGTCTTGCGATTGATCAGTTAAACCACTTAAATCAATGGGGATTTCGGATAGCGGCGAATAGCGCGGGGATTCAACTGTGAACTCAAGTGAGGGAGATGATGGAAATGGGGTCGACTCCGTAAGCTCGGACTGTGGCTTTGGAGTACACACTGTTGCATTGGCATATACGTGGGGGAAAGGTTTGTGGGGTGGATGGGGTAGGGGAGGCGATGGTGAAGCAATGGAAGGGGAAGGAGGGGTTCGTACCCTCTCTTCATCACTCGGACAATTTTGTTCATCAATTTCGATTTCATTTCCATCATTATGCTTTTTAGAACTTGGTTCACATTTATTTTCGTCATTCAACTGGTCATTGTTTTGTTCTTCTCTATGAACTGGTGATTTAGAGCGCGTGCGCTTTTTGCTTATATTTGTTGATGAATCTGTATCCATTTCAGTTTCAAGTTCAATTTATCTATTGTACCATCGGTCTCAAGATTGTTTATCTCAGTATCTGATGCTTGGGTGTTAATTATATCAGTTATGTCATCGTCTTTGTCGTGTAATGTGTCAGGAGAATTTAAATTAGTTACTACATTCACCTGTTGAGAGTCTGTTGGAGAACTATTTTGAACACTATTGTTTTCATCATTTGTCATTTGCATATTCATTGTTTTAGAGTTTGGGCAAGTTTTACGTGTACGTCCTTTCATGTTACATGAAAAACAAGTCAGTTCGTCAGACGAAACGTAAATATTATATGTCTGACCTTGAAAAGTAATAGGTAATAAACCGTTAATATTGGGATCTTTTAAATAAACATGAACTTGGCGGCGAAAAGACTTTACGTGTTTTAGTGCTGGTCTTTTGCATCCGAGTGGAATCGCTCGCACCGCGCTCATTACACGCCCGTATTTAGCTAATGCGTCTGTAATAGAATTGTCAGGTAAAAAAGGGGGAACGTTTGAAAGAACAATTTTTGTTGAGGGCGGACAGAGGTCACAGAAACATGAGGTCTCCATGTCAAGGCCAGCGGCAGAAACCATGTCGACCCACTGCATGTGACTTTATTTAAAAACACAATAACTGACCGGTTCATTCGGGATGCTGCCACAATATTACTGGCCCCGACTAAATCCGCAACCGACTCCACATAAGTCTCTACTGGAATGCCTTCAATGTTTTCGCATCGTACCGCATGGTTTCTAGTGAGGTGATCTGTTGGTGTTGACGGTGGCCTTGTGTGAGCGGCAGCCATCTTGGTTGCCGACCACCTTGCCAAGGCAAAGGCAAAAACACTCCAAAAACCACAATAATAACAAAAACAACAACTATAAATTACTCACGTAAAAGGTAGACACACTATATATACAACTGTGTAGAAATATGAGCGCACAACGAACGCAAAAACGCAAAACAGGCAGAAAATCGGGGAGCGCTGAAAAGCACCGCGTTCACCGGATGATATTATATAATATATTATATTATATTATATTATTTATTATGTAGACCTAAGGATTTTTATGTTGCATGAGTTAAAGGTATGCCGAGTCACAAAATGTGGTACATTCTATAAAATTTTGTGAAAATCGATACAAATATAAATAACTAATTTTAATTAAATTATCTTGAAAGGATTTGATATAATTAGAATAATTGCAGGACGATTTATTTTATTTTCATGTTAAAGTAAATCATACCAGGTATGTCAACCATTTAAAAAAAATATTATAATTTTTCTGAACGTAGAGCAGACGAGAATCATACAGGAGTCGAAAATGTCATAACTTCCTTTGAAAAAGTATTGTCCTATGTTTAGTAAACTGTCACCTAAATTCAGAAGAACATACAATATAGAAAACATCATTTTCATATAAATGCAGTTAGATGGTTTCCCTCACATTTACATATACCATTCTGACATGTACTGAATCTCAACTCCTAAAATCGATGTGCACAATTTTCAGATAGAAATGAAAATAGATTAATAACAGATGTATGGTAATTTGGTATGTGCATAATTAATGAGATTACATAATCAAAAAAATACATATTATCTTCGGTCATCATAAACCATGTTCATAGTCATCATGGTCCGTTCAGTAGTTCAGGATCATGTAACATAGTTATCATAGGATTGGCATTATAATAGTTTAAATGTTCAGTACAATAGTAGGTCAAAATGTAGTTAGCTTCATTTATTAACTTTTTTGCTTTTCAAGATATGGTTTTCTGAATGTAAGCCATGTGCTTAGGGATTGGTCAGTTACTTCGGCCTGGGGGGGGGGGTCGGTGGATCAGTAGGGGGGTTACCCTGTTTTTGATTGTGCAAATAGGGGGTCACACTGTTTTTGATATCATGAATAGGGGGGGGGGTCACCATGTTTTCCAGAATTCACACACGCGCTCATGCATATATTTTTAAAAATTAACTAAAGATAAAAACGTTAATCGTACAAATGTGTTCTTAATAATAACTATTACCTATAAATTTGTTGATGCAAAAAATGTTATAGGCTAAATATTTTGAGGTTAAAGTTGCCAAATAACTAACAGATTATGCAATGCTGTTAGAACCCCAATTATACAGTTTTAAACACATCCCAAGTCCATGTGCTGCTGATATCAGATTATTTTATTTAAAGTCTGAAGTCACCATTGTATAAGATATTTACTGGATTTATTCAATTATAACAGGAGACGGAAAGACAACACAGCAATTAGTACAAAGAGCAGTGACAGTTTTTGTTCAGCAAATCAAAAAAGTTAAATTTGGGAAAATGCTGATATATAAATTAAAATAAATGATGAAAAAGTAAATAAATAGTTTTTTTGTTTTTTTTAACTTTTAAATATGCATATTTTGCTCTGTAAAATACCAAAATCCAACACAAATTTAAGCGAAAATCAAAGTTTCCTTTGTTTTCATGGGCACAGACTGTGCTTTGGGTGTAAAGCCTTCCTGGTCTATAAGATATGAAAGATATTTTAAATCCAACTTAGTTTCCAAAGAGTTCAAACCGCCTAAATTAAAATCCTCTTTTCCTATCTTATAAGGGGGTTTATTGAGTGAGTACTCCACAGATTTGCTTTTATTTACTATCTTCAGCAGCATAGATTTCCCTCCTTCCTGCAGCCTTTTCTGTAGTCATTTTTTGGCTTTATGCTTCCCCTTCCCTCCTAAGGTCTATTAAATGCAAACACTAAAACTTATGTCAAAATTATGGCAAACCATGATATTTTCAATGCACATATAATACATTTTGTAATCATGTCAGCGCCAAAGCTGTTAATGTTTCTTTGTCTTTTAGGGGGGTCAGCATGTTTTAAAATATAATGTTGTGGGGGGGGGGGGTCACCCACCTTTTTATTTGATAGGGGGTGGGTCAACTGAGATTTACAGCTGGCAAAATAGAATCTGCCGACCCCCTAGGCTGAAGTAACTGCCCAATCCCTTATGCATACTATTGCATCACAAAAAAATACCATCTCTTGTTCGGTGCATTGATTTCTTGCATGTTCTGATCTGCAGCAGCGATATGACAATTAGGCATATTAATGAGTTTGCATGACCATATATGGTCATCTGTTTTAGTTCAATGCCTCCAGTGTTTGGGATGTTTGGGACAGCCCACCTTCATGGCCATAAAACCTTATTACCTAACCGTGTGATGTTTAAAGGAAATAACCTATTTTTACCGTGGAACGCTCATACACAATGTCAGAGGAATCAGACCAATACAATATCAGCAATTGCCCAACCTATCAACGTATCGAATTTCATGTATGTATCATGAGAGTCTAGTAGTACTCTCGACAACATGTATCTTACTAGGTTTAGATTTCATGATTTTGTTTTATTTGACAATGATTCAGAATGTTGTGTATATTCAGGTGATGGACATCCTGAACCAAAGTCTATCTGATATTACCAGCACAGAAACGGAATTCAACCATGGTATTCAATTCACTCGATTATTATTTTTATATTCACCAATAGCAACGCCGCATTAAATTTGTATATTGAATGATTTAAGTAATATAATATGCCGTATTCGAATTCCTATGAAATATATGTTTATTACATATCAAAGTTAATCACTGTCTGCTTTACTGTCTGCTTTAACAGCCTTAGCAGTATGGCATGACTTCATACGAGATTTGATTCAGCATCGACGTGACAACCCACCTGAAGTGGACGAAGATTGGACGTTTATTGACAATTTGATGAAGAATTCAACAACAGAGAAACAACTTCTTTCAGATGTTATCACATACTTCATTGCCGGTTTTCATGCTATAACATTCAGTAATAACTGTTTTTTTTCTAAATACGTATTTTAATATTTTATCATAATGTATATGGTAAATATTTAAAGTCTATGTCACTCAATACAGCGTTGGTATGGGCAATATATTATATGTGTAAAGACCAAAGTGTTCAGGCTAAGCTGCATGAAGAGCTTCTAAGAGTTCTTGGCCAAGACCAGAATGTGAATCATATGAACAAGAAACAGCTTCAGTATGTAGGAACTCTATATTTGCATATTTTTATGTTTGCAAAGAGCACTCTAGTTTCAATTCAAACTATATTTACACTTATTCATTGTAAGGTACATGAGTCAAGTGATTGATGAGTCGATGAGATGTTCTCTAATAGCTCCATTTGGTGCAAGGGTGAACAACAAAATAGACATGACAATACAGGGATATACAATACCAAAAGGAGTGAGTAATTAATCTTATATACATGTTTGGTAGAGTAGCATAGCACTGTATGCATCATGTAAAGACATTTGTTTTCACTAACTTTATTTCATATTGTTTTGATTAACTTTAAAATATTTCTAATAAGGATTTGTGGGTTTGATTACAATGTTTGTGTTAGCATTGTAACATTCTTAGTCAGCGTGATCCGAATGATGTAATGTTCACATACAATGGAATTGATCAAATTTGTATTTGAATATTTGTTTTTATTTTCATAGACACCAGTGATGCTGGCATTTGGCGTTGTTCATCATGATGAGAAAATATGGCCTGACCCAGAAAGGTAGTCAATATCATATAATAGTAGTGTGCAACGTTGTTTTTGTATGAACATCATGCATTTCAATTTCAGCGGTTTAAACGACGAATGATTGGTCGTTTGTAATTGATAATCTGATGCATTGCAAAGTAGGCGGTCTTGACATATCCAATTATAATATAACATTCCTTTTTTCAGATTCGACCCTGGAAGATTTTCTCTGGAACGTTGCAGGAAACGTCATGCGCTGGCTTTCACTCCATTCGGATTTGCTGGTAAACGGAAATGTCCAGCATTTCGTTTGTCATATGCTGAGATTACTGTATTTTTGTCAACTTTTTGTAGGAAGTTTAAATTTCAACTTGTCGAGGGTCAAACCATAGACAAAACATATGGACTTATAACCAGACCAAATAATGACGTCTGGATCACAGTTACTGCAAGAGAGTAATCTTGTCATTATATTAGTATGTTCTAAAAAAGAGTTAATATTGTTTCGGGTTTTACCGTGTGCCTTCATTGTGTTTTAAATTTACTTGCATGTAAAAACCTAGCATGACCATTTATGTGCGTCTAGTGAGCAACAAATCATATTTGTAAACATTTGCTTCATTTGAGTACAATGTACATTTTGAATATTCCATTTTTATAACAAGGGTGTATGTTACTTATGTTGATTCTTACATACTGTATTCTATAAATAAAAATCTACATGTGAAAATGGCAAATCATTTTATTTGAGAAAAGTTTAATTATAAATATTTCTAATTTTGATAGGACATTAACCTAATTAAGTGTGAATGGGGGCGTGTTGAGTATGTGAATGTGATCAAGGGTTATATCCAGCTATAATAAACAATAGTTATACCCATCATATTTCATATTCACGTGATAAGCTAGAAATACCGTGACATATTATTCTTCTGGATATGTGCATAATTTGCATAATAATTGTGATCATATAAAACACAAATTTATGGAATCAAACTTAGAGATAATTTTTAAAAATCAGTATTTCATTTTAAAGTTTATGATGTTTGCGATAGCAAAATGGCAACTGAGACTGAAAATAAATAACATGGTAATAAAATGTTTTGATATAAAGCATTCTGATGGGTTATTATCACATTTGTTATAACAGTGGTTTTTGAAGAATAAAATAATCATTATCAATATCAATCAGGTTATTTCACATCGTTCAACTTTCTTGCATTATGAATTTGGCAAGATTTATTAGATAAAGTCACTTTGTATTTGATGGTATGTCATTTTTGTCAAATTCAGAGTTACCCCTAAGAAAATTTGATTTAATTACAATAATATTTGGTTAGACATATCTTCAAAAGTCTGAAACTCGGGTACTTAAATATTCATGCTGATCATATTTAAACTTCACTCATTAATCAAATCTAATGTTCCACATCTGCACATGCATTCAAACAGCAACAGTGCAATACTAAAATTGCATCTAAATAAGGCATTTCTGTCATTCTATAACAAGATCTCGCTGTGAAAAAACATATTTTGTTCCTTTAAATGGGTGCATACAATTACATATCATGGAAAGTTATATTGCATTATTTGTTAACATAATATACTTTGATTGTTTTACGTGTTATTCCTCTTTAAAACATTTCAACAAAACCTACTAAAACATATAAGTTGATACCTTGATCCCCAACTCCAACCTCTAGCAATATCTTTGCATAACATAAATGCGTGTTCCAGTTGTGGTTGGTGCAAAATAATCCCATTACAGCCTGCCAAAAGAGTTCAGGCTGTGAGTTGATCGACTTTTACTATAGCCTTTATTTTTATGTCTGGTTATGGCTTCATGGCTCTATGAACAACATTGTGGCCTAAAAGTTGCAAGGTGGATAGTTTGGTGCTTCGATGTTGGGGAAATACTTCTTTGATTTAGTAGATGTGTTTGATGAGAATATCGTTAAATATAATTATTCAAATTCTTAACCCCTTACAGGAGAAATTAAAAATGTGCCTGAAATCACAAAACTAAATGGCATCATACTAAAATCAAATCAGTTACAATGTTACAAAGCGGTCAAAAAAATTAATTCTTTGGTTATGGGTATCTGCCAATAGCCTTAGCTTAAATCAATACTACTAAAGTAGCATCAACACCTGCTACATAAACTAGGGGACATTTTGAATGAAAATTAAATGTTAATAGAAGAATAATTTTACATAGTAGCATCAAAACCTGCTACATAAACTGGGAACATTTTGAATGAAAATTACATTTTAATAGAAGAATAATATTACATAGTAGCATCAAAACCTGCTACATAAACTAGGGACATTTTGAATGAAAGTTACATTTTAATAGAAGAATATTGCATAGTAGCATCAAAATCTGCTACATAAACTAGGGACATTTTGAATGAAAGTTACATTTTAATAGAAGAAGAATATTACATAGTAGCATCAAAACCTGCTACATAATCTGGGTACATTTTGAATGAAAGTTACATGTTAATAGAAGGATAATATTACATACATTGTCATGCAGTAGTGATTATGTCTATTATTTATATGTTTTTCGTATTGTGTTATTTAAATTGTAAATGATTTAATTTGTTTCATTTAAGTTTCATCACACATCAAGTAGTTTATGATGTATTTTGATTGTTCATGCCATGAAATCTCTAAAAACGAGCAGGTTCATTTGATCGTCTTTTTCAATGTTGATTGATATCACGAAATCCACATTTTTTTATTTTCATATAAAGGACTCTCCCCAAATGTTAGGTTGCAAAAACTATCGATAATACAAGTATATAAAAATTGCCATATTCAAATGAAGCCTGAGAAAGATGATGACAATTATAGATTGAAAGTGACACATGGTTCAGGACTACGTAAGCACACTTCTTTATTTCAATATGAACTATTGTTTTTAATCTTTGTATGAAAGAGGTAGAAATTGTTTTGTTGTAGCAAGTGATGGGTATTTGAACTAATAACTAGGGCTGAAAAATGTATCACAATGTTTCAAATATGTCAAATAATTATTGATATTGACAAATGTCATCAACTTTTCCTGGAATGAAATATTTGTTTTTAGAAAAAAATGTCTAAAATATACAAAAATGAATATTTTTGTTACAATTTCATTAGGAAGCTGTTAAGCATTATTTCATAAACAAAAAAGATCCTCAGAAAATACTAATCAAAGAAAGCTTAGAAAGAACTCCCATGTGCTGAGAGTATTGGAGACACATTAAATATAATTCGAAATTACTTAGCTGAAAACTAATTATGCAAATCAGAAAATTAATATGACCAGATTTGAGTGTAAAACTAATGAGGTCTGCGCAATGTAACAGAAAATCTATGTCTCCAAGTTTAATTGAAATGTGATTAGAACCAAAAAATTATGAATTATTATGCTTATTAGGGAATTAATATGAACAGATTTTTACCCCAAACTAATTAGGTTTGTACATTGTCCTAGAGCATCTTTGTACTAAGTTTCATTGAAATGGAATAATTAGCACCGTGAAAACTCCAAAATTTCGACCCCTCTAAAAATTTGACCGCCTATTTATTTGCCGGGTTTCGGTGTTTTATTTACCTCCAAATTTTCGACTCCACTAAAAATTGCCGACTCATTCTTATTCGAAAATTGCGACCAGTTTTAGTTTTCCCCCAAACGAAAAAAAAACCGATGTGAGCGTTCAAACGGGACCTTCCTCAAAGGCATGAATCCGGGTTTCTGATTGACTGAGAGATTTTTATTTTATTGGTAACGAAAATATATTCTAAATAAACGAAGTTTCAAATAAAAACGAACACAAAAATCTCGGCATGCTGCGTTTCTGAATTGTTGATTATTACTGTACTCAGTAGTGATTATAATAATGTACACAAAATAAATTTGTTGAATGGTTATGAAATACAATAAAAGTCAACTAGTTTCATCGTAAGCGAATGATTCCGGTCTCGTATAAACGTT